TTGGTATATATAGCTAATAAGGACAATCATATAAAAAAGAAAAGCATTTATTAAAATAAACACAAAAAGAAAATATTCTATGCCATGGATGACAAATTTGGGCCTTGTGTGATAATGCTTATCAGGGTACTAACAGATGTGGCTGATCAATCAATGGGCTCTTTGTTGCTGATCCTGGAATTCTTCTCAATACACAACAAAGAAAGCCATTGCCAATCACTGAAAATTGGCACTGAAATCTATTTGTCAAACCTGCTCTCAGTGATACTGTTTAAGACATTCAATCAGGAACCTTCCCCACAGGCAAATAGTACAGGAGCAAATACAGCCTTCTAGGATATGTGCTCAAGCAGGGGTTAACATTCAAAAATGTGTGAATGCGTAACAATTCTTAACAAGGAAAACGGGAAACAAACATTACACGAGATAATGTTATGATCCAGTGAGTGGGGTAAGTTTTTAAAACCTGCCATCTACAACTTAGAATGGTTTTAATTCTGATGATACAGCATTTAAAAAAAAATACAGGCATCCATTTGCAAGAAAAGTAATCACTACAAAAGTAGCAAGAAATTGAAACAATTCCCTCAACCACACTGCAACAGAAATTAAAGACTGGTACTGGTAACTGACAAATAATTAAGTAGTTTGAATGCTGTTTATTCATTGTAACTTAAAGTTATAGATAGTCTAATGGTTTGGGAAAAAATGACACAGTGGAGCCAAGATGGTGGAGGAGTAGCAGGCTGAGATAACATCAGGTAGCAGGAGATCAGCTAGATAGCTATCAAACCATTCTGAACACCTACAAACCCAACAGGAAATCAAAGAGAAGGAGAGCAGCAATTCTAGAAACAGAAAATCGACCACTTTCTAAAAGGTAGGACCTGCGGATAAGTGAATGCGAAGCCACGGGAAGATAGACCACGGGGGGAGGGGCCGGCTCCCAGCAAGCGGTGGAAGAAAATCTGAACTTTGAGAAGTCTGCTCCACTGAGGGACATCGCTCCAGAGGCTAAGTGGAGATGGAGCCCTCACGGGGACAGCGTGGTCTCAGGTCCCACGGGGTCACAGAAGGATTGGGGGTGTCTGAGTATAGCAGAGCTCGCAGGTATCAGAGCGGGGAAGCCGACTACCGAGACGGAGCCCAGGAGTGACCTGTCAGCATGGGGTTGCCTAAAACTGTGATCTGCAGCACAGGCAGACCACTGTTCTTTGAGCAGGGACCCCACAAGTGGCAGATCAGGGGAGACTCCCCTGAAAGAGCAGCAGGGATCTGCGAGGTCTGGAGACTCCAGGTGGGGCTGTGGGCCAGAGACAGAAATGCTTGGTCACAGGCTGCATGAGCTCGGAGCGCAGCCGGAGACCAGGAGACGGAGTGATTGAGCAATTTTCTCCGAGGGTACACTGAGGACTGTGGCCCCGAGCTCTGGGCTCCTCTGGGCCAGAGATTGGGAGGCCATCATTTTCATTCCTGTCCTCCAGAGCTCTATGCTATGGAAAGCTTCCAGGGAACAAATGCTCCGGGAGAGTGAACCTGAGTAGATTTCTTAGCCTGGCCCCTGGCAAGGGTGGTATAATTCTGCCTCAGGCAAAGACATTTGAGAATCACTACAAGAGGCCCCTCAGAAGATCAACAAGAAATTCAGCCAAGACCAAGTTCACTTACCAAGGAGAACAGCGGAATTCCAGAAGAGGAAAGCAAAGCATGGAATTCATGGCTTTCTCCCCATGATTCTTCAGTCTTGCAAATTAAATTTTTTAATCTTACTTTTTTCTTATTCTAATTTTTTTTAATTTTTCCTCTTTCCTCTTTTAACGTTTTTTAAACTAATTTATCTTAATAATACCTTTCTAAAAAATATCTTTTTAAACCTTCATTATTATAGTTATATTTTAATCCTTCATTGTATCTAACTTTATTTTTTGTATACATATAGGGTTTTTTTCTTCTAAAAAATTTTGGGATATAATTTCTTCTAATAGATCAAAATATACCCTAAATCTAGCACAGGGCTTTGTTCTACTCTCCAGCCTGAGCAAATTCTCTCCACTTCCTTTTTCTTACTTTTTCCAACCAACTTATCAATTTTTTTTTTTTAGATATTTTTTTAAAAATTTTCATCTTTACAGTCCTATTCCATCCCTTCATCGTGTTTACCCTTATTTTTGTGTATATATATATATATATATATATATAAGTTTTTCATTCTTTAAAATTTTGGGAAGTAGTTTCTTCTAAGAGACCAAAATACACCCAAAATCAAGTGGTGGCTCTGTTCTATTCATCAGTCTAATATATATATATATATATTTTTAATTTTTAAAAAAGTTTCTTTTAAATTTCTTTTTACCCCCATGATGTGGTATATATATACAAGGGAATACTATGCAGCCATCAAAAGAAATGAAATCTTGCCATTTGCGACAATGTGGATGGAACTAGAGGGTATTATGCTTAGCGAAATAAGTCAATTGGAGAAAGACAATTATCATATGATCTCCCTGATATGAGGAATGTGAGAGGCAAAGTAGGGGGTTTGGGGGGTAGGGAAGGGAAAAATAAAACAAGATGGGATCAGGAGGGAGAAAAACCATAAGAGACTCTTAATCTCACAAAACAAACTGAGGGTTGCCAGGGGAAGCGGGGGTAGTATGAAGAGGGTGGCTGGGTTATAGACATTGGGGAGGGTATGTGCTATGGTGAGCGAAGTGTGTAAGCCTGACGATTCACAGACCTGTACCCCTGGGGCAAATAATGCATTACATGTTAATAAAATATATATATCTTACAAAATGAGACAAAGTGAATAACTACAGTAGAAAATTTGATGCTTAAAGTACCTTTAACACCTGAGTAGCCAAAATTATAGATTTTCTCTAAATGAAGAATAAAACCCTTCATTGTTACTTTTAACAAAAACTGCTTTCTTCTAATGAAATTAATGATAATTCAGTTCTTGTCCAAAATCAAATACTTTTTAAAAATCTTTTAAAAATTGGAGAAAGACAATTATCATATGGTTTCACTCATATGTGGAATATAAGAAACAGTGCAGAGGACCATAAGGAAAAGGAGGGAAAACTGAATGGGAAGAGATCAGAGAAGGAAACAAACCATGAGAGACTCTTAACTATGGGAAACAAACTAAGGTTTACTGAAGGGGAGGTGGGTGAGGGAATGGGATAATTAGGTGACAGGCATTAAGGAGGGCATGTGATTTGATGAGCATTGGGTGTTACACCCAAATGATGAACTGTTGAACACTACATCTGAAATAAATGATGTACTATGTGTTGGCTAACTGAATTTAAATTGAAAAAAAAAAAACTGAATTAAAAAATAAATAAAGAAATAAAAACATCTATTATAATGTGATTTCATCTCTAGTCATGGAAAGTAAAACAAAAATACAAGGACAGTGGCTAAGTTTTAGTTGTCTTCATTTCTAGAAATACAATAACTCTACTGAAATGTATTTTAAAATATATGTAATCATTGAGTGATATTGGAAACAGAAGCCATCATTTCAGTTTTAAAATAAAATTGAAAATGCAGCAAAATTTTTTGGAAAGATTAAGTAATCTATTTGATAAAGTAGGCAGACATGAGCAGGTAACAGGTGTTTTCTGACTGTTAACAAAGGATGGAAACCAAGTTTCAAACAGCCAGGAAAAACTCTGGGGGCACACGCATGTACTCTTCCCTATAACTGCTGCCGTACAATGACCTATAGCTTCAAGAGAACACATTTATACTGTGGTCTTGACCCTCTATTCCCCTTGCAGGAGGATAGGTCTATCTATGACAGCTCTGATAAGAGCCATATAGGGCCCAAAACTCCTTCATAGACTACCTAGTCAGAAACCACCCTAGCTATAACCCTTGCAAGCATAAAAGAGAAAGACCACGCCGGCCCCCAGTGCAGTTGCAGTCTCTAGGTCTGTCCACTCGTTCACCTTAAGAGTGTACTTTTGCTTTCACTGCCATTAAACTCTTGTTTACTTGAAAGCTGGGCTCTAAATTCTTCCTTGGCCCAACTAAAAAATGGAGGCAGGGGATAGGGGCTGGGGTGGGGCAGATGGGACATGCCTCTGACATACTGAGATCAAATCAGTATACATTTCAGGTGAAGGTACTTTTTTTCTGCTATATAATCACACATTATACAATTTTACCAGAATGTTAAATCAAAGCCTGCTTAATGAAACACATCAGAGAAAACATACATCAATAACTGAACCAATTTAGATCATGTCCATAATAGTTCAACCTGACAATGAACTTTGCTCCATGTTAAATAGTATTACATGCTGTTTCCAGTGAATAAAAACTGCATCAATGCCCCCACTTCCTTTTGCTTATATACACTTAGCCATATTTAGGATCTCACAAGAAATCAGCAAGACATCTTATGTTATACTGACATTTAGCAGTAAAGAACATTTGCAGCTATAAGCACCTAAAACCACAATCTATAAAAGCATTACAACCAAGTCACTGCTCTTGATGTAATTAGACAAAGTTTTCTAAAATCTCCTTCGAAACAGCTATTATGCTAGTGTCTTCTACCCTTGGCCAATTCACTGTCACGAATTGTTTTACTATTATGCTCTGCCATGACTTTATAAGTAATTTCTTTGCAAAATGAGAATGGGGGCAGATGAACAGTTTTATTTGGCTATAAGACTGTAGCTGATTACATGACAAACTTGTGGTACATCTTATCAGTATGTCATTCATGATTATAATACAAGAGATTTTAATCAGGAAGTAGCTCATTATCTAATGAGGTGTACTTACCTCAGGTAAGACAAAAGACAAGTGTTTCTGTAAACTATATAAAAACTATCCAAGAAGGCTTCCCACAAAACATGAAATCCAACAAGAAAATATGTAAGTTTTGTGAAAGAACATCAGTGCTGTATTGCAGTAAATATGTCATTTTTCTAGCATTCTATTGGTAAAACCAGAAAACATTTAAAAAATGTTCTTCTTACCTGTGTATACAGTTTTTACTCTCGAGATAGGACATACCAGAAGCAGCATCTAATGAAAATTTCACTAATTGTTTGAGTTTTATCTCATCTTTCTTCTTTCTCAGAAAGGACAGGAAATCACCTCCTAGAAGGATTGACAGATGAATAATGAGATATAATCATGATGTACTGCCTACTGGAGATACTGGACAAAACCGCAAGAATTACACATTCAGCCATTGCTTTCTGCCCATTTTGTTTGAGGTGAGGGTAAAACAAAAGATGAAAAGAACACACCTATTAGAAAATAGATACCATAAACTTTCCCAGGTACAGTTTAAGTACTTTAAGTGCTTCACACTGTGTAGTATCCAACACGAAATAATATTCAAACAAAATCATATAATGCTTCTGTTGCAATTTCTAACTGATTTCCCTGGGTAAAATTTTATGCAAAATTTTATTTTTTCTAATAGCAAATAAAAGATTATAGCTATTATGAATTTAAAATGTGAATGGTATCAAATTAGTTATAAGATGCAGTGACTGCTTATAACAAGTCACTGATGGTAGAGCGAGAGAGGGGGGATCTATGGTCTTTGATATGATTTAATTGCTGAACCAGATTGCATTTTGCACATCAGATAGATTTCAGTGATGTCTTAGAGCAACTCTTTAAATCAGCATGGTCCAAAAGAGATATAGTAACTTTCAATTTTCTGGTAGCCACATTTGGAAAAGCAACAACATCAAAAAGGTGAATGTCATTTTAATAATGTATTTTTTCCTTAGCCCAATATATCCAAAATATATTATACCAATATGTATCACTACAAAATTATAGTAAAACTAGTTTACAGTTTTATCATCTTTAGTCTTTAAAATATGTTGGTTATTTTACATTTTGTGGGACATCTCAAATATTTGATCTGTGTTAAAATTTCATAAAATTTATAGTCAAAACAGAAGATTCACATGCCTATGTTGTTTCAAACATTTAAAATTTTCTAGTAACTCAATCATATCCATTTTAAATTGAATAAAGTTAAATGAGATCCAAACTTCAGATTTTTAGAAGCACTAGCCACATTTCCAAAGTTGAGGAGTCACTGACCACCAGTCACAATCATATTAGAATAGTGTTGAACTTCAACTGTTCATTCATTCTTCACATCGCATTAAAGGCTGTATGAAGGCTTGATTATTCTTCCTTGTTAGTGTAGAGTGTAACTGCATTTTTTAAAAAAAGTTAAATGAATGTCCTCTCAAAACAATCATTCCCACTTTCTCTATTAGTGCCTCAGATTCTAAACCAGAATTTTTCAAGAGGGATTAGCACTTTAATTGCCATTTCCTGAATTTTGTAATCCTCTTCACCAGGGATCCAGGCTTCCTTAAACAGAACAACTCTAGAGGTGAAGACTTAATGGCTTTTTCTTTAACAAGAATACCTGGAAAATAAACACTCGCCAGGTCTTTCTCTAACGACTTCTCTTATTCACAAATCCAGTGTTAGGAAAATTTAGGTGGACTATTTACAAAATCAACAGTTATATGCTTAAAAATAATCTTAATGGTGTCAGATAATTTCTTTATTCTGTTCTTTTAAAGAAAATATCAAATGTATTCAATTACTAGGAAGATTATTGACACAGTCTCTGTCAAGTTTAACAATTTTCTGAACATATAAAAGCAACAGTAAACAGCAAAATTAACCATTAATTTCTCTACTTTAATAGGTACACCAATTAAGTGGACTCGAAATCAATATTTAGTTCAAGTTATTCCTTGGACCAATATTCATATATAATTATAATATATATAATCAATATTCTTTTGTTAGATATATGTTGGCCTATTTAAAAAAAAATTCAGACTTCTGGTCTTGAAACCACACAGCATTTTGTTTAAGCTTTGGAATAGCTTTCAAATGGAAAGAGCTTTTCTGGAATTTGATTTAAAGCATCCTATGACAGCCTCAGTGTTCTGTGAAATCCTAACATTTCTTTCCAAAGTTAGATCATATTCAGCATTTTTCCATCTGCCTCCTCCTCTTCTTTAAACTTACTCCTTTGGTGAAACCTCCTTTACCCCTGAAACCCTGCCCCAAACGGTAAACCCCAGGAAGAGAATTGTGCCTCTGCTGCTCAATATTATAATTTCAGAGGCTACCATACCATGTTCTAGCATGTAGCAACACCTCAGTAAACATAGCTTGAATGAGTGAGTAAACAACGTATACGTTTCTCCTCTTGCAGCTTCTTAGCTCCCCATGAAGACCAGAATCATTTTATCATTAATTTTAACATTTCTTCCCTAGTCCCTCTCCAATGGTGAGAACTATGCTTTTCAAGTACTTGTTAAATGTTAAAATAGTGTTGAAAAAAGGATATTGCATTTCTTATCAATGGCACCCGATGGATGCCATAAAATTCTTTATATTCCATCTAAAACTTTGACCATTTAAGACTGAGCTCATTTTGATAGATGCTTCCCTAACACTAATGCCTTGAAAACTGCATCTTTTTAAAAAATGATTTGCAAAGAGGCAATCCCTGGTAGATAAAATTGTAAGATATCAAATGCATAATATAATAAAGACAACACTTAAACAGCATTACAAATTGCCTGAAAAGTGATGCCAAGACAATAAAGGTAAAGTACTAGACAGCAAATGACATACAGCTATTTCGAAATACGGAGACACAGCCAAAGATAAAGACGAAGGCTTATCTGATTGCCTCTTAGTTAATACAAAAATATTCTGACTTAGAGAAATTTCTTGCTTAAAATCATTAAATTATTAAAGTAAATTTTAAATTTATTTCCAACTTATACTTATTCAAGACACAGACAGAATGATCTTAAGGAAAGGAGGAAAGCCACACCATCCCACAGCCCTAGTCAGCTTCTTGCAGAATAGTGCAGAGAAGCAAAGCCTTAAATAAAAGTTAAATAATTGTGATTCAGTACAGAAAGCCTGAGCTTTGGGCAAATGCAAGCAGTAAGAACCCTGAAGCAAGAAGTAAACTCCCCAGGGGACAGAGTATGATACAGAGTATGAGACATTTCTGGCCCAGGAAATAATTCAGACTGGGCCAGAAAGGTTCCCCGAGGCACAATACTTGATTATTACCATTAAGTGAACAACAACCAGAGAGTGACATCAGATGATAGAGTTTTTAGTATTCACTGTCAGTTATTGTAGAGGATAGTGTCTTCCTTTTAACTCATTCCTCTGCCATTTTCATTAAGTGCCAAGTTAAAGAGCCTCTCTTAGAATTTGTGATAGAGACAATAATCATATATATAATACATAAGTTTCTATGTGTATGCATGTATATAATATATATATATGTATGTACATATGCATATAGTATAGAGTGACATACCTGACCACTGAGGTAAGGATCTGGGTGTTCAAAGTGGGCAAAACAAGATATTAATTCCCCTTTCGGAAATCTGTCTTAACAAGGATTATTTCTATATGGGTATACTGTACATTAAACCAAAACAGGATGGATTATCTTCTAGAATTCTTCACCAGTGATAAATTTCTAAGATGATACTTCATATGTTTGTATAGTCAATTTTTGGTTTATTAGGGAGACAGCATGACATCGTGAAAAGACCATGGATATTGAAGTCAGACTGACCTAGGTCTGATTACCTATGTGGCCTCGAGTAATTTTAATCTTTTTTTTAAATCTGTTTAATCTTTTTTTTCTAATATTTATTTATTTGAGAGAGAGAGAGAGTGAGTGCACAAACAGGGGGGAGGGGCAGAAGGAGCGGGAGAAGCAGACTCCGCACTGAGCAGGGAGCCTGATGTGGGGCTCAATCCCAGGAGTCTGAGATCATGACCTGAGCGGAAGGCTTAACCGAATGAACCACCCAGGTGCCCCTTATCTTTCTAAACTCCTTTAAAATAAGAATTAATTCCATTTATTTCTCAAGATGGCTTTAAAGACTAAAAATGTATCTAAAACACTAAGCCCCTGCCTAGAACACATCATACACACAATAGTACTCCTATTTCTTATTTTTGCTTGAGTTATTTTGAATCTAAAGAAAGAAAGAGTTGTGGTAGAGACAGGTTGTTAGTCACATATCTATGTTCCCTTACCAGCCTCAATTTCCTGCCCTTCTCCCATTTTGGGAAGTATTCACCTCACCCTCAACAAGAAAGGTGGCCCTAGATTGGCTTCATGCAATGAATGAAGCCCATTCCCCTGTCCAAGTGACTGGTTCAGGGATAGGCACACGGCTTAATTTGGGCCACTGAAACAAAAGGAGATGCTTAAGAGGGGAACAAAACTTTCGTTTTTGAGAGAAGCACCAGGAAAGAAGCATTCTCTGCCACTGGAAGTGTACAAGACAGCATACAGCACCACGAGGACTGGCAGACTAGGGGTAAAGCTATCATCAAGGAAAGCAGAAAATAGTGAAGAAAAGAGAATGGTTTCTGGCGACATATGTGAGCCACTGGATCAAACACTGACTGAACAGGGACTTCCTTCTAGATTTTTCAATTAAGTGAACTAATAAACCTCTATTTTTCTAATAAATGAATTTGACTTTATTTCTTTTCAGTGTTCCAGCATTTAATTTTTTTTTTTAAAGATTTCTTTATTTTGAGAGAGAGGGGGCACCCATGACTGGGGGAGAGGCAGAGGGAGAGGCAGAGGGAGCCTCAAACAGAGGCCCAGCTAAGTGTGGAGCCCCAAGCAGGGCTTGATCTCAGGACCCTGAGATCATGACCTGAGCTGAAACCAAGAGTCAGACGCTTAACTGACTGAACCACCCAGCTGCCCCAAATCTCAGTAATTTCTAATACATCTTCTGTACCAGCAACACAAAGGTTCCTAATGGATAACTAGTTGTATCAGAAGATTATTTGAGAATTTTAAAAGGTAATATATATTAAATGTCTGGGATAAGTAGGAAATGATAAATAGAAGTGTTTATTATTGCTTGCAGCCAACTTCTAGTAGGAGAATAGAAGGCTGTTATTCTCAACAGTACTTTCTCAAAAGATTTCTTACTCTACGCTATGGAAATTTGATTTTACCTGTTCTTTCAGTATTCATGGGACTGTGGGGAACTGATCACATTCAATAAACTCAGAGAGATTATTATATAAAT